AAACATATATATTTCCCGAATATATTCATATAAATATATACATTTATAATACAAATCAAATATTTTTTAGAACGGAAGACGAAGTCTTATAAAATTCTTCTCCTTTTTAGTATATTTCTATAATTGTCGAGTTTTGTTCTATATCAAAAAGTATGACAAATCGGGAATATAAATATTTTGGAGAAAAAAATAAAGATGTGAAAATGTGTAAGAAGTAAGTTACTATATAGCAATCAAAAGTAACTGAAAAGTACCGTTTAAATGTGATGCTGTAGCCAACAAAACATAAGTAACAAAATTAGTCTGAGAGGAATCATTGATATAATGTGAGACGGTTGCAGGAATGAAAAGGGCGAAAATTGTAAAAGGAAAATGATGTTTACTTTTTTAACTTTGTAAAGATAGTACGCATCTGACATATGCATGAAGTCAGACTAAAACCTACAACTTGACCATACTTTATTCTGTTAATAGCAATCCATATGCAATCTATGGAGAAGATTTAGTAGGTTAAAAGATACCCGGCTTGAAAGAATTTTCATACATTGTTTTATTGATGTTTGAGGGAACTGTAGAAGATTTGGTTACGGAGTTAAAATGCATCAAAGTTCTTTGAAGTATCTCAACCTTTCGTTAAATCAATGAAAAGTTCTGTTGAAAAAAAAATAATGTTAATTTTAAAATGCACTTGGTTAGCATCTGGTAATAGGCTAAATAGTATAGGGAGTATAGGAGAATAAGTGAAGAAAGCAAAAGGTATCCCAACACACTTTTTAATGTGAAACATACTGCAAATTGTCATTACTAGAAAGTATCGCCTAGCATTTGCAAAATGTAGGATTGAAGTGGTACCTATACACATTGAAACGGGTAGATACGACGGGTTACCGGTGTATTTGATGTAAAGATACAATTGAAGATGACTTACTGTTTGGTGAAGCCTTTTCAATAAATAATTATTTCAACTATATGACAACTTGTGAAATGTTGATATTCCTATTCACGAATATTTTATGATAGAATAGCTAATAACGTAAAAAATATCTGCTTGTATTAAAGATATTTTTACCATGTATATACATGTAGCTGGTGTATACTATGTGTTCCTAATGTGTTCACAAACTTATATTGGCTCTGGTGTAATGATAAGTATAAAGGACCGGCAATCCAGATACCCTTGGTTCAAGTCCCGGCAGCAAATTTTTCTTCTGATTTTTCTATGTTTGATTTCCCGCTCATGATTTTCTTTCTTATGCATGTATGTATGTCTATTTTACATCTAAAGAAGGATATGGTTGTATGTTTGTTCTATAATGATGCATGTATATAAAAGAAAACGATAGCCTAAATATACTTATTTGCTAGTCCGCAATTTGTACTGAAACTTCTTACAGTTACAACTCTAAGTAAAGCAAATTCATTATAAATATTGTATGTATTTAACGATGAAAAGGGTATTAAAGCATTGATGACGGTTCTTTTTAAAGTTTTCAAAGAGTTTAACCGGAAGTGATAAGCCAGTGCCGCTAGTATTGAGTCGGGCCAGCTATACTGTTTGTTGGCAAACTTCAAATTTCATCTGATATCCCCAAAATTGATAATGTACAGTTCTTCCAAATAATGGAAGTTGCCCATTTAAGAATTTAGCATATTAAGGGTTAAAATGCTTGCTTTATTTATTTAGTTTCATGTTTGTCATAAACCACAGAATTTTCCAAGTAAAAAGACACCGTGTAAAGTTCACAAACATCTTCTAATTGTCTTTGCTGGTAATTTCTTCATTTTCACAAGAAGCCATTGTTTTATATACGAACATGTATATTAAAAGAGTTGGCATCTTTAATGGATGCCAAAATTGGCGGTGATACATTGTTCTTTAGTATACCTCTCAAGCAACATTTAATAAATACATTTGAATATTCTGCTAATAAATGAACAATAAAATGAACCTAGCGTGTAACCGGTTTATATAATTTAACAATCTGATTAAAATAAGCTCCTAATTAACGCTACCCATAGCATACTTAAGTATGTCTGAACTTTTAGTTATATTGTATAATTTAATGTAATACAGGCTCTATAAATATTGTTATACAGCGGCCACCATCAGCTCGTAAATACTTGCCATATTTTCTCACTTTCCGTATCCTGTAAAATTTAACAAATCGTCGATATGACCTGGTGAAATATTGTGAAATACGGAAAGTACCGATGTTTGCCGAATGTGTACGAGTTGTTGACGAATGTAATACCTTTAATAATATTCTGATTATCTCCACCATGTCTGTAACGTTTCTCATTTACTTTTCACTGATTAGAATTTTTCTAAAAAAAAATATTTTTCTTTCAAAAGTTCATTTTTGTCAGAAAATGTTTCATTATATATATAAAACTTTATATATATTAATTAATTTCATGAACACAAAATACATAAACAGGTATTATTTGTTTTTAAGTTTAGACAGGCATTATATCAATCTCTTATTAAGCCTGATCTTTCTAAATTTGAACAATAATTGTTTTTATAAAAAAGAAAGTACTTTATGTTCTATAGCGTGCATGTTGCTGCAAAAAGGTATAGATATGTTTTAATCAGCCGTGTGAAAATAAGCGCATTTCTAAAATAAGAAAATTGTTTTTATTCTTTATTTATCTAAATGCAAATTTTGAAGATTCTTATCTATCCATAACATAAAAATTGAAAAATGGCTATATTATGAATTTCAGAATTTCAGTACATTTGTTTAGATTGGATTGTAAAATGTCCATATAAGCATTTATTTGCAAATACATTAATTAACACGTAGTCTAATTTTGTTAATTTAGATTAATATTGAAATGTAAAACATTCACTGATCATATAAAGTGAAATAATAAAGACGAAACTCTATCGTGGAAAGGAATTAATATAAGTGTTATGCATGTTTTCCAGTCCATATACATGTATATTGTGATGTAAAATGGTACATGCTTGTAAATTTGATAAATAAAAAATGTTTAAACAAACACTTAGTTGGAGGTAACTGGTGCTAGCCATATGACCAGTACAGATAATGACCTAAACTGTTCGCTATTTAATTAATACATATTTTGAAATTTTCACTGAAAATGACAAATGATTTCATCCAAATTGAAAGATGGACACATCCACTTTCAGATTTTAGCGTGGTAAGGGTTAAATATAAAGATGGTATGTTGGTATAATTATGCTGTCTTAGTTGATAGACGATTTCATGATGCATACACCTAAACACATATATTAAAGGAACTCAACTGAGGCCCAAAAAGCATATAGATATTAAATTTAAATTTCTTACAAAGATCACATGTTGAATTTAAATAAGAATGATGCAAAAGGTAATAAAGTAATGAACTCAGATATGTATTGAAAAATCATATTTTTGCGTTATCTTTAGCCCTATTTGAGTCAAAATGATTGCATGTTTGACAATTCTGGGTCATTTTTTTCACAATTAGTATCATTATTTTTGAAAAACGGAATGAGCGAATGATCTGAAATTGTGCATGTAAGTTATTGATCTAGATCTACATCTGAATCAAATTGAATATCAATCCCGACATGTAAAAAATGTCAGTGGAGTTCTGTTAATGAATAAAACAGAGAGAAAAAAGGAGAAATTGAAATAACGCTCAAATATTATGCCTGTATACAAAAGGCATATTTGATTGCTTGTATGGCGAATGCTAAAATGTCAATTTCGCGAAAGCCGCCGACGTGTACGTTGCTTTTTCATTATATTATTATTATTATTTATTTTTTAAACAACATCATAATATAAGTTAACTGTAAAACACATGTACCACTTTGTTTTGTTAATACAAATATGTGATTTTTTAAAAATGTATATCACATTTATCATTTTAATCCCTTTTTAAATCATATTTTTCTTCTTTTCCGGAGAGAATTAAAATTTAACTATAAATTGTTTGTAGTATAAAGGATGTTTACGATGTAATACACATGAATATATCAGTTGAGATGCAGAGATACATGCCGCTTGAAACATCATTCATTCATTCATTCATTCATTCATTCACTTATTTATTTATTCACTTATTTATTTATTTATTGTAAAAATATGTATACTTAAATATCATGTTAATCAATTTTAAAACATTACGATTTATATGCTCGAGTCGCCAATACTCGTGTTGCAAAGAATCTATGCATTCTACATATACATAAACATGCATTATTATCGCAAATATAGTCTTTATTTTGTGTAATTATTATTATTATTAAATCATCACTTAGTTGACTAATTAATAAGATATAAAGTTTTCAAGGATAAGGTATGTATTAAGTTTACTAAATTTCAGCCATTTAAATAATTAAAATATACTCTATTTCATTCGATTGAAGAGCGGAGGCATTTTACTATAATACAAAATATTAAATATACATTAATTCAATGTAATATTTACTGGTTGCGATCATTTTTCAAATAATTCATAGTACGTGGTTTGAACTTACTCTTATTAAAACATTAAAATGTTGTTTTTCTATGCCAGCAAAAGGGAGAACTGGCAATCTGCAATCAACCATCTGTGATCGCATTTTCTTTAACAGTCTTAACCATTTGTAGTCAAGTACCATAAATAGAAATTAATCAACATAAAATGGTAGAAGAATTTTGCTTAATTAGTCCACTATTTGCTTAAGAGCCCGAGTGATCTCAAGATTCATATGAATTCCCAGAGAATTAAAATCATACTTTAATTCCGTCAAAAACATGGTCACAGATTTTCCCTTAACAAGCAAATTAATTAATTAAACAGCCGACCCGCGTTTCGGATAAAGTCGACTGCTAGCCCTGCCTTCTGGATTAAGATAAAATATTCGCTTCCCACAGATTGGTCGCAAATATTTGTAGTAGATAATATATTTCAACCGGTAGCATTATTATTTACATAATCTTGACCAATAGAATCCGATCTTTCATATCTTGATAAATTTGGCAATCTTAAATAATATGATACAAATTGTGGGCACTCTGTATGAAAAAAAAATGATTCAGGTTTGGATGTTTGTAGGATACACTTGGTTTAAGACAGCCGGAAAAAGCCTTAATAGATATAACACAGTGACAAAAGGCGTAACTTCTGACTTTCTGCAATAAGTTGAAACATATTTTACGGATTTTGAACGGTGAAAAATTGTTTTATAGTGGTTTTGATTTTCTTTAAAGATTCACAATGAAAGGATCGTTTAGTATAGATTCTTTGTTGTCAAAGAAAGCCGAAAAGCATCCTCAACCACCGTCGCCATCACCGGAAGTATCAAATGTATCTCCTAAATCTGCGTCATCAACAGTGTCACCAAGAACATCTTCCGGTTGTTGCAGTCATCCATCAACTCCCAGCCCGGAGTTAAGACTCTCGCCTGAAGCATATGTTCAAAACAAGCATCATGTGTTTAAAAACAATTTAATTCCGCGACCAGGACTTTTAAATGTGCACCAACAAGCAATGTTACAATCGAACCCAGCGGCTTTACAGGGACTTTTACAAGCGCAATATTTAAATGCATTAAATGGACAACATTCACAAAGTTCGCTACATAATTCACTTCAAGGTCACGGCCACTTGGCTCCTCATCTACAAAACAGTTCAGCGTTCCATGCACCCGCAGACCACGCGTACAAAATGGCGGCACACCTTCATGCAGCACAATCTGGTAGCCCCGTTCAACCTTACATGGGAGACTGGATGTCACGAGGTGGAATGCTAATGTCAAGGATGATGGACTATACTGGTAAAAAAATACCTTACGAAATTAATTTCCTTTTTTCTATTTGGGTTCTAAGAAAAGCCGACATTTCTATGTTTAAATGACAATTCCTTAATAATACTTGTTAAGGAAGACTTTTTTCTCTAAGTCATTCTAAAGATGTGTTGACACCAAAGGTTTAAACAAATAATTGTTATAAAATAGCCAAATAGATACGAACCATACAATCTTAATGAAATAATAAATTACAAAATTTAGATAATACTATCTTTATTTCCTCAAGTCGCTAAACATGTAAGTAAAAATAGATTAAATATAATGTGCAAGGAGCATGGGTAAAAAGTGTTTGATTTTCATTTTCTTTAAAAATAAATGAATGAATTGATAATCAACAGAGCTGAGCGTTTTATCAGTGACACTATGATCATTATCATAATTTTTCACTTTTAACATCCCTTAAACGTTTATTTTATAAAATAAAATCTTTTCTAAATCATTACTTTGACAGACAAATGACTATTATCATAATCTTATTAAAATAATTTTTAAATATTTATAAAACATCTATAATAAAGACGCACAAGCAGCTGATTGTTGATTACCTTTAATGAGAAGTCATTTTACAAAGAAATTACAAGATCTACCAAAGGATAAAGCTATTTTTTGACGAAAGTTGTAGGTATAATGCTGCCAAAAAAAACAACTCTTTTTTTATTTTTTAAACATTTAAAAAAATTAATTTTATGATATTTTGAAATAAGATAACAAGTAAAAACTAACATCTAAATCAGTAAATATTTAGGTTCGTTTCAACACCTGAATAACCATTTATATTTATTTACACAAAAATGTCAAGGGTTGAATTCGCATGTAATGGTGGTGCAAAAAAAAGAGAAAAAAAAGAAGAAAATGAAAGAAAAGAAAATAATCAAGCTGTTTAGACTTATTTGATTTTATTTTGATCTTTTTGTAATTTTTAATAAATCGAATTAATGTCATAAGGTTGTAACTTAAATCAGAATGTTCAACAAAAACTTCAATCATTCATCAAAGTAACAGTTGATTTCTACCCCCATTTCCTCAAACATTCGTTATATTTATAGAATGTGTAAAACCCGACACTGGAATATTTTATGCGGTGCCCTACTGTGTTTAGAAATGTGAAATATTCTAAATGTTGTTAAACAGACACCTGTCCGCACTCGAACTGATAACCCGTGTAAACATGTGAGTCATTTTTAAACACCCGCAAACTACCTTAAATAAGAAATACACATCCTATTAAAACCATATATTCTCGCATTTCATTTAATGTCATCATCAGGTTTTCTTTACTCATTGTCGCGCGCAAATATTTATTAGTTTATTTCCTTTTTTAAATCTCCTTGAAAATGCAATAATTACACTTGTTAAAGATCTTTATGAACAATTTAAATTTATATGTACGATATTCATTCACAAAATAATGGTAATGTTCAGTAATATTCTGTTTAAATCAAAATATTTTGCTTGAAAAAAAAACCCTCAGCCGAAACATTTTATATGCTGTGTCTATCAATTATATACGTACAATAATAGTCAAACTAGTATGAGTTGAAAAATTATGAATTTACTATATCATATTAAAGCAAATTTTTTGAATAAAATCATGACTTAAAAGTTGATTTCAATGCAAGATTTTTTTTTAAAAATTGTCTTGAAAGTTAAACTACCAAAATTGAAAAAAAATACTATATTATTTTCATGAATTCATTTAACGTTCATTGAAGTAAACAACGCTGCAATTTTCAAATTGTTAATGGAATAAATTTTAGATCCTGTTTAGTATACTTATTTACGGTTTGGTTGTTTGTTTTCTTCAACTTGTCAGCATTCACATAGTCATAAACATTCATTAAAAGTATCCATATACTCGATGCACAACAAACTTGAAATGTTTTAAAGAAACTTTATAATATATCTACCAAACTACAATGTATTATCAATATATCTTCAAATGGATAAAGTTTTTATTACCAATAATACATGAATATTAATCAGTTTTGTATAATAAGTGATTAGACTTGCCTGTGTAAGAATACAAGATTACTAATGATAAATCATAAGGACTGGTTTATACAAGGAATGAAATATATTATTCTTTCCGTTCCTTTTATATCAAAAGCTCAATGTTTTAGAAATGTTTTGTTTGCAGCGCAAATAGCACTAAAGTTCTATAAAAACAAACGCTTTTCTTGGCTTTCGGCATTTTTGTCTTTCAGAAAAAAATAATTTTGTACTGTATAAGCGTATCTCACAATGTCAGTATTCTTGTTTTCAATCATTCATTTTGGTGTTTTTGTGAAAAGTATACAATTATATTATATACAAGTTAATAATTAAATATTTTACATGGATGATTGTATTAATTCTTTTTATGATCTTCAAGAACTTGCATCACAAGTAGCAGAAAAGCTACAATATTTTTCAACATGTATCGTCCTAACATTTAAATTATAATAATAAAAGAAAAGGGCCATTTATTAAATAAATTTAACGATTTTTTGTCCAGAAAAATTTTGCTTCAGTTACCAAGAAAAAGAATATGCAATACAAGTACAAGTTTTATTTTCATTCAACCAGAAGGTCATATACTCATGTGGCACATTTACATAATATAGCGAGTGTATACATTTAATTAATAAACAATTACATCAGACAATATAATAATATGATGCAAGTGTTTACTGTTGAACATCATCAGATATTTCAATGGCATATAAATTGTTTATACTTAGCCCTTTTTATATATAATATTATTATAATATCGTGATCTCTTAATATTCATCAAAAAGAAAATTTTTTTTGCAGACATTTTTCAACAAATAAACTGATCAGATAAATTCTTGTTTATATATTGATTGTCGTTTGTTATATATACCAACAGTTACATTTTATATTCAATCATATATACATGTATTTACCATAAACTTATGAGCAGTAAATTTCATGAAACAATTGATATATTTGATGCTATGTCTTAAACGATTAATGTGTCCCAAAATCCTGCATGGTATCTCTCTTTCATCAGTTGTATGCCACCTTAAACATTACATAAAGGATATTCCTTTTCATTTACAATACTAAAAGTGTAACAAAATGAGATAATTAACAAAATCAGCAAAAGTAAATACATTCTGTCCTTAACAAAACATTCTAATGGCAAGCACAAACGATATAATAACGGTTTATAATCATAAAATGTATTATTTAAACTAAATCATTTTATTATATCACCTTATGATTTAATCATTAAGTTTCAAATAATACATTTTATGGCAATGCTAAAATTTCAAGAGTTTAAGGGGTATTTCAAGTGTATTGATGGTTAACGCTGCAATGCCGTTCAACCATATGTTCCTGGTGTTATAAAAATGTTGGTCCTAATATATATTCTTTTTTAACTTTTTAACAAATACAATTTCAAACTTTATTCTAGAAATTATTGACAATGTAAAGCAATCAATGTTGTAGAACAGTAGCAATATACTGCCATCGCCACTATCGGCAGTTTGATTTTTCTTTTCCCTCTTTTATAGAATAAACGACGTTAAAACAATAAAACGTAAAGTACATACTTGAAAATTGAGATAATCTCACCGATTTTAGAGTAGATGTAATAATAAACGAGCCTGATAATAGTGTGTGAATGAAGGTATATCTTTTTAAAACTAGGATAAAGACCAAAATTATCTTTCATTTTCAAGAACAATATGAGGAGATGAAAGATATAACGGTACTGAAAAACAATCAAGTTTAAATTAGTTAGAAAAAAGCTTCGTCGCTAGCCGGTGACATGGGGGTACTGTATACCACACCGCGTGTCTTCTGACATACATCCATCCACCGCTAGCCAAGTTCAAATTAGTTTTTAAAAGACTGTATTGCGTTTGAATATATCATTTAAAGAATGAAAAGTCGTTGTATTCAGTTATGTAATATTTTGAAAATGTTAGAAATAGTTATCGGCGTATATCTTATGTTTTACAACTGTATATTTTAAAAATTCGTTTGTTTTACAGATACATTTTTTGTGTTTAAAAAACGATCATTTGACTCATGGGAAAATGAATATATAATAATGTAAATACATGTAAATGTATTATTCATAAATGATTGAAATTCTGCCTTAATAAAAGTGGTATAATCCGGGGAAAGTTATATTTGCACACATACTGTCAAATAATATTTTTACAAGTCTTACAATTTAACAGTATTAACATGTGGTTCAAAGTTTTTATTATTATATTGTTTAATATACATAATTACTAGTATGAGAAAGCTACCCGGCTAGTGTACAGAACTTCGTTGGTTCTACTCAGGTGCCTGTTCGTGTCTGAAATAATGCTCAGAGGGGCATCTGAGGTCTTCCTCTACCAGAAAAGTTGGAAAGTCGCCATATTACCTATACTGCGTTGGTGCGACGTAGAACCTAACAAAAATAAATAAACATACAGCCAGTATACATAATCAAATACGTTGGTCCTACCATATTTTAGATTTCTTTCACTTTTATAGGGGACATATACGGACAAATCGCTCGTCAGTGATTGACATATCCATCAATGAATTTTATAATATAGAAAAAAAAAAGAATACAAAATTTGCTTTATTTTAAAGTTATTTTATATCTAATAACATAACAAATCAAATGCCAAATACAGATATGATTTATTATTGATAAAAAAAGAACAAAAAACGACACCGTTGCTTTAAACGGATCATTTTATAATTGCTATTAATCTATTTAAATTAAACATTTCAAAAATGCTTTATTAATTAATTCTTTTTCTAAAATGGCTATTTTTCATCACCTATTGCTAAACTCGTTCCGTATTTGTAAAATCAGAAAACTTAAAAGTAGATAGAATGATAATCTTGATCTTGAGCCGGTTATCTTTGAAAGTAAATCAATTCATTTCAATAGCTTAGTGTTACCTGGTCCATTTGAAAAGCGACTTTGTCACCTTTGAAAGTTTCCGAAT